TGCAGTGACCTTGAACCATGTTTCTAGGTCAAAGGTCAAGGTCATAGCAGAATTTTGTGAACAATCCTTGTCCGGAGCATATCTCTCTCTCCTTGGCCCAATCGGGCTATTACTTCACCCACAGAGTGCCATTGGGTTACCAGTGTGCAGTGACCTTGAACCATGTTTCTAGGTCAATGGTCAAGGTCATAGGAGAATTTTATGAAAAATCCTTGTCCGGAGCATATCTTCTCTCTCCTTGGCCCAATCTGGCTCATATACTTCACCCACAGAGTGCCATTGGGTAACCAGTGTGCAGTGACCTTGAACCATGTTTCTAGGTCAAAGGTCAAGGTCATAGCAGAATTTTATGAAAAATCCTTGTCTGGAGCATATCTTCTCTCTCCTTGGCCCAATCTGGCTATTACTTCATCACAGAGTTCCACTGGTCAATGGATGTGCAGTGACCTTGGTCGGAGTTTCTAGGTCATGGTCAGAATTAGCCTCTCTGTTTAAAATCTTTGTTTGGTGCATAATTTTTTCCCTTTAATTCCAGTAAATTTATATAACTGGAGATTGAAGATAAGTTAGATATATATCTGTAAATTTGCAATATCCGTGAAGTCGTACTAAATGACTTTCACTGTATTACACAAATGTTCCTCTTTAAAATAAACCCTTTTAAACTTCCTTACATTTTCATGTTCATTGTTGAAAGCGGGGCCCTTTGAGATGGCCACCATCTTAATGATATCTAGTTTAAATTAAGTTTGTCATTTGTTAGGGAATGTGAGTGATTCTCCTTTGATGCGTTTGTTTTCTCTTTTTAAGCAGAAGAAATTTGAGGCTGACCAGGATCCTGAAGTGAAGAGCAGTCCCTCTCCCATTTAACAGCGTTCACGAGCAGAAAGTGCGGTAAGATTCATACCTGACCTCTTTGTACCTTTTCCCAGTATTTTGGCTTTCCAATTGATGTTGGCTTTGTCAGGCTTTGACCTCTTGAGTTTGAATTGACAGGAAGCAGAGATAGCCACCTCTGAAGGTCAGTTTGGAGTGTTTTCTGCTGCATTCAGAAGGTATGGGGTGTATAGTAGTTGTAAGTAGCGTTACAAAAGTGTTTCTTAGTCTTAGGTTTAGTTTGTATAGTATTTCTGGTAGGTGCAGTTGTGTTGTAGTTTTAGTTAGTAAGTAGGCTTTAGTTGTTAGTTAGACAGCTTAGAGTTCTTTAGGAGTGTAGGTTATTATTGTAATTAAGGTATTTGTTAGTTAGTGCATGATTAGTGCTTGTGGTGGATAGGTTTGCATGATTAACACCCTAACAAGCAGGGTTCTCCATGAGCTGTTTTACTGTGTTGGTCCCGACACAGAAAAATGTTCTCCGACACAGTAAAGATTCAAATTTTATCTGTGCGACACATTAAAAATTTTGCGGACACAGTAAGATCTGTGATGATAAAAAAAAAATTAAAACATACAAATTCTCTCTATCTGAAACATAATTGATCAAACAATTCTACCATCTTTCAATTCTATACGATATCTTAAGATCACTTAATTATGCTTTCACCTTGCATAATCAATTATTTGCTAGACCCTCAATGGACTTGATGCATGAAGGAACAAAGACAAATAATTGGATTTCAAACTTCCATGTAACGGTTAATTGGTACTAGTAGTTGCAATTAAAGTACATTGTATTATTTTTAAAAATATATTTAAATGTCTTTTCTTTAGAGCCATGGCTCTAGAATTTTGTTGGCAATGTAAATCAAACATAACACTGTACCAAAATCATTTACTTGATGTAAATAAATAGTTTTAAATTTTCAAGGAACTTTTAAAAGTATTTTACTATTCTGAAGTCTTTTTTTTGTAATTCCTTAATTCAATCAAGAAAATTGACAAAAAAACTATGACAAATTTGCTTTAAAAAATTGCAAGTAGTTTAACTTTATAGACAAGAATTTCCTCTGCATTTCACAACATGTGCTAATATGTTCGACCATACTATTTTTGTAACGAATTAGTGATTTTTTTTTTTAAAGTGTGTGCATTTATTCTTAAGTAATTATAATGAATAGTGATTCAGTTGCAAATTTGATCGCTAAAATACCGTGAAATTTTAGTGCTTTGCGTAAAATCTGCAACATAGTAAAATTTCAGCTGATGGAGAACCCTGAACAAGTAACAAGCTACTAAAACTACTAACGTCTGCTAAATGTTGTGTGACGCGTCTAGTGTGTTGGTGTTAGTGTCTGTGTGCTTGTCACCTCTCGCTTTCAGCCATCACCGCTGGCTAGCAGTAATGCGAAAAGGGAATGTCTTCCCCTGCCAGTACATAGCCTCTCCACAACAAGTCCTATGCGATGCCTCCGCGTGGAAGCAGATGGATACTGGGCACCATTCAGTCCCAGGCTAAGTTCGCAAGGGCGAAAAGCCTTAGTAAACATCTTATCTGGGAAAGAAAACTGATCACAACCCCGATTTAGTAGAAGAATCAATTGATATAAGTGCTGGTTTTCAAAAGAAGTGAACCTTTGTTCATTTTATGTCTTTTTCGAAGTTGGGGGGAGCTTTTTAGCTCACCTGAGCCGGGTTAAGGTTGAAGTTTTTTGGAGCAGTTTTCTTTTTAAGTACTTCTATGTCCTATATTGATTAGACATGCATAGAAGATGTTTCTAATGTGTTTCATTGTACCAGTCAAAGTTTCAGATGCTGCAATTTTGCAAACTTGGAATGACCAGGTTAATGTTTTTGGTGCAGGTTAACATTTTTGGGAATTTTTGGTTATTAAAATTATAAGGGCCTATGTTGACCAAACTTACCTGGAGGTACATCTTACGATGCATAAAGACATGCTGAAACTACATTTTCCGGTGGGGTAGGTTAAAAAATTTGGTGCAGGTTTCATTTCAAGAACCACTGGAGCCAGATAATGCTGAAACTTTCATGTGGAAGCATCCTGGGGTATGTATTCTCTAAATTGTTCATGCTGAATCTGACCTACATTTTCCGGGGTTGGGCAGGTTAAAGTTTTTGGGAAGGTTTCATTTCCAAGTTACTATGAGAAATATATAGGAAAAATCTTTGAAAATCTTCATTTACAAGACCACTGGGCCAGGATGCTGAAACTTGTGTGGACATTTTCCGGTTGAGTGAACAGGTTAAAATTTTTGGTGCAGGTTTCATTTCCAAGGTACTATGAACCCATAATGACTAAAGTTGCCTAGAAATATAAAGGAAAAATCTTTGCAAAATCTTGCTTCGGATGCTGAATCTGACCTACATTTTCTGGGCCAGTAAACAGGTTAAAGTTTATGTGTGCAGGATTCATTTCTAAGTAACTTTGAGCCCTATAATGACCAAACTTGCATGGATGGTACATCATGGGTGCATTGTTAAGGCTGGCTTCAAAGCTGAATCTGACCTACATTTTCTGGATTAGTGAAAAGGTTAGTTTTTTATACAGGTTTCATTTCCAAGTAACTTTGAGCTTTTTTGAACAAACTTGCATGGATGATACATCTGAAAATGCACACTAATTTCACTTTTCAGATGCTGACAATAAACATACATTTTAACTTATCAATGCATTAAAAAAAGTTATGGGTGCAGGTCTATCACCAAGAAACTATAAGGCTTATATAAACCAAAGTTGCACAAATGATGCATCAAGGGATGAAACTCTCAATCTTGCTTCAGATGCTGGATTTTAATTACATTTTCATGATGAGGAACTAGTTTTAAGTTTTTATATAAGTCTGAAAAAAAATTGCATAAATTTTGCATTTTTGGATGTACACTTTTTGTTTTAATTGTGTGACTTTGGCTTATGTATATCCTTTGTTTTGTGAGCTCTGTTAATCTCTGATTACCTATGTTAGAATTTGTATTTTATTAATATGAAGGCTCAAGTGAGCTTTTATCACATTTTACGTATATTTTACATCGAAACTTTTCATAAAATCGTACTTTCGCAAGGGCAACCACTAGGCCAATTTTGATCTAAATCATTTTTTTGAATATAGATAAAGGGGAATATTAAATTATTAAAAAGTGCTGTCCTTTCTCATAATCGGAGATAATTTTAAAAGACAAAACTAGGGTGGGGTCATTAAAAAATCTTCATTGGCCACTTACTTGAAAATTTAACTATTAAAACGTGTAATTCTAAATTGTTCAAAGCATTACACTTTTCAGGGCCTACAAAGGGGAATCTCAGTTTTACAACAAATATATAGCTTAAATTTTTAATTTCTTCTAAGAACCACTGGGCCAGGAAAGCTGAAATTGTGTGGAATGACCTACATTCAGTGCACGGACTATGCATTTATCACGTGACTGTCCATCGGGGGACTAAACCACAATGGGGAATTCAAAGTTTTACATAGAAATATTAATAAAACAGCTTTAAAATAAATTCAATTTTTAAAAAATCTCCCTTTTTTGAACGTCTATTTTCCGTCGATTTCTCATAGTAGACCTTAACAGTGCTGCGTGACCACCGGGGGTAGGGCGGGGCCACAATGGGGAATCAAAGTTTTACATAGAAATATATAGGAATAAAAATTTGAAAATCTTCTTCTCAAGAACCACTTGGCCGGAAGAGCTGAAACTTGTTGGAAGCATCCTGGGGTAGTGTAGATTCTAAATTGTAGCATCTTCATGTAGTGTAGATTTAAGTTTGTTCAAATCATGACTCCCAGGTTTAGGGCAGGGCTTTAATGGTGGATCAAAATGGACAGGGGAATACTGTAAATCACTTTTTATTCGAATGAACTTTATTTTCACATTATTACGGGAGACGGTATGGTCGCCAAAATTTCATTCTCGCGTATAATATAATTCCTTAAGATTAAATAGAGCAATGACCACAATTTTTAAAGTTTTGTCTCGCTAATGAAGAGTCATTGACTATCTCGCGAAAATAAGGTGTCGCGAAAATTAAGTGATCTACAGTATATAGGAAACGTCTTCTCAATAATACCAAAGCCATATATAGTCATATTGATATGGAAGCATCCTTAGGTAGTGTAGATTCACATTTGTCCAAATCTTGATTCCAGGGGGCAGGGAGGGGCATCAATGGGGATAAAATTTTAACAAAGGAATATATAGAAAAAATTTTATGTTCAAGAACAGCTAAGCCATTGTTATTGATATGAAAATGTCTCCAGGTAGTTATTCAAACCCCCATCTCCTCTTCCTAAATTTTATACTTTTCAATACTGGACTAATTTGTGCATTTACTAGCCAATATGCTTAGGTGAGCATATTGGCCATTGGCCACTAGTTTATTTTAGAAATCTTCTCACTTGGTATGAAGTGCAAGTGATCCCCTTTTGGTGTCTGTTAATTTTTATCTTTTTAAGAGGAATACTTTTAAGGCTGGACGGGATCCTGAAGTGAGGAGGACTCCCTCTCTCATTGAACTGCATACAGCAGCAGAAAGCAGGGTAAGATTCAGATTTTACTTCTTGTATCTTTGCTTGCCTATTGATGTTGGCTGTACTAAGCTTTAACCTCTGGACTTTCAATCAACAGATTTCAGTTCCCCTTTGATTCAGAAGAGGAACAACAATGGAGGACCAAGGTCATTAATATAAGAAGAGTCTATTCCTGTCTGTGTTTTGCAGGTATTATGTTTCAAAAGTGGTAAGCAACAAGCTGCTTTTTACTGAAGCTTCTCACTTGGTATGAAGTGCAAGTGTTTCCCCTTTTATGTCTCTGTTTTATCTTTTTAAGCAGAAGAAAGTTAAGACTAACTAGGAATTCTAAGTGAGGAAGAGTCCCTTTCCCATTCCACTGCAGCCATGAGGAGAATACTCGTAAGAATCAGACTTTACTTCTTTTTTACCTATGGAACTTCATCATGACCCACTTTAACAGACAGGAGTCTTACAAGTATTTTTCATTTAATTATTTCCGACATATCTTTGTCCTCCCTACTCTAAATTAACTATGCTTTCCTCTCCTTGCCCTAATATTCCACCTTATTCCTAGCTATCATAACCTAATTGTCTTTATTAATGCTTTTTGATTTTCAAGCTAATAATGTAATGATTATGTTCATTTGAATTACATTGCTTTGAATTATTGCTTATCTTCTCTCCATCAAGTATTTTCAAGGAATTTGACAAGGGAAGAGGACCAGTGCTGACCAAGAGAAGAGAAAGAAGAGTCTATTGCCAAGCTTTGTACAGCAGCCAATATCTGATTAAGGAGTGGGTAAAAAGATTTATTATACTTCTGTTAAAATGTTTCCTCTATAAAGTTCAGAAGGTAAAATAGCTATCTTTTATAGTTCACGCATAGCAAAGCTATACCCCGGGGTATAGTTTTTGATGTCCACCCTCGGAAAATTTTCATGCAATTTTTGCCTCCAATTTTGATTTCCAACGATAGATCTATCTACTGATGATGTCATAATGACTTCAGTAGCATTGTGACATCATCAGGATTTCAGATTATTCTTGCAGTATTATCTTACTCCGAAAAAAATCAAACCTCAGAAATTATATTATACATTAGTATAATAAAACGCTTATCCACTGTTTGTGAGTGGGATAACTCTTTTATCAAACCCTTGACAGAAACTATTCCCCTCAGGCAAGCCCTCGGGGAATAGTTCTCTGTCGCGGGTTTGATAAAAGAGCTATCCCACTCACACCCAGTGGATAAGTGTATATTATTTTTTTGCAATTTATAAGTTTTCTTTATACACATCAAATCATAGGTCCAGGAGGATTTAGACCTTGCATTATGTGAATTAGAGGAGATTTTGACTCTCTCATTTCTTGGATTCTTAGTGTCTTTTTGTTAATAGGCAGACGGTTATGCTGGCATTGATCCTGTTTCCAAAAGCAGATCAACATGATTCCTCAAGACTCCAAAGAGATCAACTATGGGACCTGAAAATAAAGGTAAGACACATGTACAAGCTCTGCAAAATCCTTCTATTCTGTAAAAATATGTTAGCTATTTTTCATTTATTAAGATTTTATTAATATTTATGTTGAGTCCTTGTGATTTCTTTTTTTACAGGCAGACTGCCATCAATTTCATTATTTCTTTGATAGCAGACAAATATGCTTCAACAATAGCGCAGAGAGTAATTGAAGGTTTGGACTGCAAGTGATGGACACACTAAATAACTCAATTAACTCAAAGAATTCAATGGATAGTGCTGAGTACATTATTATTTATCTACAAAGTGATGGACACACTAAATAGCTAAACTGACAGAATTCAATGGACCGTGCTGGGTACATTGTTATCTACAGAGTGATGGACACACTAAATAGCTTAACTCACAGAATCCAATGGACAGAGTTGAGTATGTTCTTATCTACAAAGTGATGGACACAGTAAACAGCTTAATTCTCAGGATTCAGTGTACCATGCTGAGTATATAACTCATTAAGGATAACTCATATGACATCCACAGCAGATCACTCAAAGTTGTGTTACTACATTATTGTACAACTTTTCATATACTACGTTATTTTTACTGAATGGTTTTTTTTTGTATCTGTATATTATATTTTTTTAATTTAAAAAAATTAAAGATTGGGTTTTTAAGCAAAAATATCAAGAGAGGTAAATCAGTGCTTGTCTGAATATCTAAGCTTAAGAGAAAGGGAGGTATTTTTTTTTATTGTGAATCCTTGTTCAGAGCATATGCTTTCTCCCCTTGGTCCAATGTGGCTAATACTTCTCTTACAGAGTGCCACTGGTCAATGGATGTGTAGTGACCTTGAACAAAGTTTCTAGGCCAAGAGTCAAGGTTAAAATCCCCTTTCAGCTACTTTACATTTTTATGTTCATTGCTGAAAGTGGGACCCTTTGAGATGGCCACCATCTCAATGATATCTAATTTTAGTTTGAAAATTGCTAGAAAAGATAAAGTGATCTCATTGTAACATTCTTATTTTTTAGTGTTTTAGATTATAAATAAATATAACAATATGCAAAATCTAAATTCTTTTATATTCTCTCTTCTTTGATTTACATAGCAGGCCTTGCAGTTTTTAGCTCATATGAGATTTTCTGATCACCTGTTGTCCGTCCAGCTGTCCATTCATCTGTAAACTTTTCACATTTTCAACTTATTCTTGAGAACCATTGGGCCAATTATGACCAAACTTAGTACAAGGCATCCTTGGGAAGTGGGAGTTTAAATTATAAAAATAAAGTCCCCTTCGAGGGAAATTGCCAAGAATATACAAAAATAGGGTGGGGTCATAAAAAAAAATCTTCTCAAGAACCACTGGGCCAGAAAAGCTAAAACTTCTGTGGAAGCATCCTGGGGTAGTGTTACTAGTGTAGATTCTAAATTGCTTGGATCATGACCCCTGGGGATTGGGAAAGGTCAAGATAGGTATTAGGGGGAAATCTGTTAAATAACATAATGGCCAAAGTTACTCAGGTGAGTGATGTGGCCCATGGGCTTCTTGCTTATCTAATTTAGTTTTATCTTTGTATGCAACACTTTTCCTTCTTTTAGTTGTTACTGAGGTTCTATTAAGTAATTTAAGTTTTTTATGAAACATTTTTCCTTGTCAAGTTCTATAAGCATGTTCTACTTCATACACAAGTAGTATATGAAGATTTTCTAGATGTTTCATATTTTTTCAAATTTTCTTGAAAAGCATAACTGATGTACATGTAATTGTAAATACTGTGTTTGTCCCTTGTGATACATGATTAATTTATGTCAGTTTGGATTTATCATATATATTAAAATACACTAGCTATTATACAGTCTGTTTGTCATGGAATTAAACTTGTTGAGTTTTTATTCCACCTCTATAATTGAAGATTTGGGGGCATATTTTGATAAACGATCTGTCTGTTAATCTGTCTCCAAATTTACTAATTTTTACTACCCATGGCCATTCGTTTTGAACTTTTTTTAACCTTTAAGTTTGACTTTGACCTACTTTGGTAAAAAAAAATGATGTGAATGATTATGCTAGGGCTTTCATATTTCAAATGTGTATTCCTTGTAATGAAACGTCTTTTATTACCCCAAACAAAGGAAGTTTTAGGGATATATAGGAATCACATTGCCTGTTAATGTAATTTTGTATAGGCTCTAACTTTGATATATGGAAACACTAGAAGCTTATCCTTGTTACAGACCTTGCTTATAATGACCCTACAGTGAGTCCTGATCTGACACAAGGTCATTCCTGCAAGTTCAAGGTCACTGGCCTAAAAGTATGAAATTATTGTCTGGGTCATAACTTTGTAGAAAGAATCACTGGAAGCTCAAACCTGGTACAGGGATTGCTTATGACCCAAAAATGTGTCATGATCTTATTCAGTCATTCCATTTAGTTCAAGGTTACTAGTAGAAAAAGGTATGACATAACATGACTTTGTAATGGAGAGTCAGTGGAAGCTCATACTCAGTACAGATATTGCTTATGATCAAAGAATATGCCTTGACCTTTATCTAAGGTCATTTTGGCAATTTCAAGGTCACTGGTAGAAAAAAGAAAAAAAAAATGTCTCAGCTAAAACTTTATTTGGAAAAGAATTGGTACTGTACAGGTATTGTTTTTGAAATCAGGAAAGTTCTTATTTTAATCCAGTGTCAATGCAGCAAGTTCAAAGTTACAGGCAGAATAGTGTAAAATTATTTTTTTAAGACTTTAACTCAACAATGGAGAAATACTAGGAGCTCATACTTGATACAAAGATTGCTCATTGGAACCTGATACAGGTATTGTTTATGAACCTAAGGAGTGTCATGACTTTAATTCAAAGTCAAATAGCAAGTGAAAGGTTGATGGTATAAGAATTAAAAATTATGACAAGCCTTTTATCTGATGGAGAAATATCCTTAAGTATGCACAATGATTCACCTAAAGTTTACTAATGATCAAAGTATATGTGACTTTTGACTAGAGTTTTTTTTGGCAAGAATTTGAAATGGCGAATTGAAAAAAATATTCATTTTGGACCATCCCGATCAAAATAAACCATAATGAATAAAATAACAATTGATTGCCTTCTTTATTGTCCCCCGCTTTAGCGAAAGCGAGGGGACATTAAATCTCATTCATCTTGTCCGTCAGTCTGTACGTCTGTCACAAAAACTTTAACCTTGCCCATTATTTTTGATTTAGTGGAGCTATGACTTTCATATTTCACATGTGTGTTCCTTGTGAGAATACCTTTCTTTGGGTACCACCATATTTGACCTTTTGACCTTGAATTTGGAGTTTGACCCACTTTTACACAAAAAATCCAAACTTTTACTTTGGACATATCTTTTGAATAATAGAAACTAGGACTTTCATATTTCACATATGCATTTTTTGTGTCAAGGCCTTTTATTGGATACCAACAATTTTGACCTTTTAACCTTGACCTTAGAGATTTTCGTAATTATGAAAAAACTTTTACCTTGACCATAACTTTTGAACGGAAAGGGCTAGGGCTATCGTACTTCACATATGTAATCCTTGTGAGAAGACCTTTCATTGGATACCAATAACTTTGACCTTGACCTTGGAGATTGACCTAATATTCAAAAACTTTGACCATGGCCACAACTTTTGAACGGTAGATACTACATGTAGGACTTCATATTTTTGCACATATGTATTTTTTGTCACAAGACCTTTCATTGGATACCAACAACTTTGACCTTTTGACCTTGGATATTTCCGTACTTATGAAAAAACTTTAACCTTGACCACATCTTTTGAATGGTAGAAACTAGGACTTACATATTTCACATATGTATTTTTTGTGACAAGGGTTTTCATTGGATACCAACCATTCTGACATTTTGACCTTGACCTTGGAGATTTCCGTACTTTTGAAAAAAAAGTTTAACCTTGACCATAACATTTGAACGGTAAGGGCTAAGGCTTTCATACTTCACATATGTAATCCTTATAAGAAGACCTTTCATTGGATACCAAGAACTTTGACCCTTTGACCTTGACCTTGGAGATTGACTTACTTTTCCAAAACTTTTACCTTGGCCATAACTATTGAACGGTTAAGGTTAGGGTTTTCATCCTTCACATATCTATTACTTATGACCTTTTTAAAGAAATCATCAACTCAGATCCTTTCACCTTGGAGATTGACCTACCTTTCAAAAATTTATCCTTGGCCATTACTTTCTTTTGAACAGGGGGTGGGATTTTGTATTTCACAATCTTATTTCTTGTCTGAAAACCCTACTTTGGGTAATATCAAATACATTTCATTTGATTTAAGAAATGTTAAATCTTTGTTATGTTGCCATACGAGGTCATCTGTGTTTCACAAACACATCTTGTTCCTTATATTGAGAAGAGATACGACTTTCATTTTTGACATATGCATTACCTGTGACAAGATGTTTCCGAGCATGCTATGAATTCTTACCCCTTGACCTTCACAATTGACCTTATTATTAAAAAAAAATCAACTTCAGTGATAATTTCTAAATAAATGACATATGACAGGGTGTTCATATTAGACACAATATGTCATAAAAAATGACATCTCACCCACAAATACACCGAAAGCGAGGGACCACAATTCTTTGAATTTGCCTGTTTGTTTACGACCAAAAATCATTTCATTGTCAAGTTCAGTAATTTTTTTACCCGTATTACACAGTATAATCAAACCAGTATTCTTTTGAAAATGTTATCCATAAAAAAAATTCATGTCTAAAATTTCGCATTATCATTTTTAACATACTTGAACAACATAATTTCCACATATATGATATTAGTCCACAGGCATTTGTTTCGGTAATTTTTTAGCCCGTAGGACAACTCTTCCCGAGTCCTGATCCGCTCCGCTCCACATAAACATATGGAGTGGAGAGGATCAGAAACTCTTGACTTGGGCAGATGATAGTACAATAACATACTATGGATTAAAAATTTATTATCGAAACAAGCGCCTGTGGGTGTAACCATAAACTACATATTCATTATAAATCTTATCTTATTATAGATGTCTTAAAGATCTTGAAAAATGAGAATATTCTTTTTATCATGTTTATGAGATGTCAATTTTTTTTTGAAACTGTAATTAGCATTAAAATTGTTAATCAACTTGTAAAGTCCGTTTTTATTTTTAAAAAATATTTAAGTAACTATTATATATTAATTTAAATAAGATCTATTTAGCCTATTTATTATTATTTTTTTTTTGAGCACGCAACTTCTTACTTGCGTGTTATACCTTATGACGTCATATCAACAAGTGCACCAAGATCATGAAACTACAGGCCTATGCAGCACATCTATGCTTGTAAGTACATCCATAATGTAATTGATTATTATGTATAAAAAATATAAAAATTTGGAGAAAGTTTACATTTATGCATCATGCATGTCAATATTTTAAATATTTCGGTATTAATCAATAATTATAAAGTAAAAATCTTTGACAACGATATGTTGGCTAGGCCAAACGAAACCACACAAGGCCTTAACTAAATCATTCAGCGCTTTGGTTTTTTTTTTGTTCTGAATAAATTAGGCTATTTATTGAGAGAAAAAAATGTCTTCAGAAACGAATCCCCAAGCAAGCAGAACAACTTGGATTGAATAGGCCCTATCTGATCTTTGCGATCATACACGAAATATTTGTCTAGGTTAGTGTTAAATTCTAGTTAAATTCTGTCATCGTCCAAAACTATGAGAGAATCGATGTGAATCACCCGTGGGACATCCTCGCAAGCCAGGGGTCCCGATCCAACACGTCATTCACTGTCTAAGATATGAACGAACGACAACTCTGCATGGGAGATTGCTATCGACCCTTGCAGAGTTGTCGTTCGTTCCTGTGTGTCAGAGTGATACATCTCATGTTTAACTATTTTAATAATTATCAATGAATCCTAATATGATTGCTACTTTGACAGGAAGGGTATAACCGGAAAAAAATGTATCGTGGGTTTGTAAATCTCACGAGATTGAAGTAAAATCCGAGGTGTTCCGAATGAGTCGTCATAACCATAGTGACGTCATAATAGTTTTATTATTCTCGACAACGGGAGTGTTGATCAGTTTGATTCTTTTTATAAGGTACTCTGTTCTTTTAAAGAGAATAGACTAGCAGTATGGCCCGGAGAGTCAACCCAGGGATTACTGTTAATGATGACACACATACATTGGTAAGTATTCCAAATTAATTAAGTGTTCAAATGTTAAGTTTGCCGAAAAAATGATGAAGTACTCTACGATCCTTTCATTGTTATGGGAAAAGTGTACATTTGTTAGCTAATGTTGCTCAATTTTTGTGTGTGTCTATTTTAATTGTCATCTCGGAATATTACCAACGTACTTCCACTTCATTCGCATTTGCATTCAAGTTTTATCGAACTCAAGTTAACGAAAGTTAGTTTAATTAGTAGATGTTAATTGTTAAATATTCCATTAGTGCATTTAAACAGTCATTTAGTATCTGTGGAGTGTGAAGGCCAGGGCAGCACTAGTAATTGGGGAGGGCATGTTCCCAGCGCCTAAATTTAAGAGACCATTTAGAGACCAGCTCCTCCAGTAAATAAAAAAAAAAACCCAACTTTTTAAAAAATGTTTCATATGACATTTTTATTAAAAAGTTATGATTGTGTGCCCCCCCCCCCCCCGCTTTTTGTTGTAATATAGGTTAATCCTATCTATTCGATAGAGAATGCTGACAATAACGAAAAAGTATGACCCCCTTTTTTTAGATATAGAATTTATAGATAAATCCTAAGAATGGGAAATTTTATGCATATTTAGGATATGTATGCATGACCCCCGGGGGTACCGTAGGGTAGGGCTACTATGGACAGTTTAAGTTTTACATAGCCGAAATAAAAGATTATTTCTGAAAAGATATTTTTTTGAAGAGTAATAGGAAAGCCATGATCATTCATATTAATATAAATAAATAATTATATATAATTTCAAGGAACAGCAAAGTCGTGTCGAATCATATTTATACGGAAGCATCCTCATATGGTGTAGTGTTGTGATTTGTTCATGGGAATATATCTGAACAAAATTCTGTTGATGAAGATCAAGAAGGGAGATAATTACTTACGTTATGGCCTTTGGGCCTCTGTCTCCCATGCTCCTTTTCTCTCTTTAAAATTTAAATGATGTGTATGTTTTTCTTTCCATAGGCCGAGTTAGACGTGAACTATTATGATCCGCGTTATGACTACACAGGGGAAGAAATAGAGAATGTAAGTATGATTTTATGTATTTGCAAGACGATGTTGGTAAGATATACACATATATAATGAAATAAAGAAGAAAAATAATACATAAAAATCACATTCATATTTCAAGATATGTTACTGAAAAAATCTGTAGTTTTCTTTTTGCTTCGATTTACAATTCAACAACAGTTTTTTCAAAGTTTGTCCTTTGTTTGTGTGATTTTGTTTTTGAGAAGAGTTTTGGTCGGTATTGGTCCAAATTTAGAGGTAGTGTGAGCACCGAGCTCACTAAATGATACCCCCTACCTCGCCTCAAATATGATTATATTGGCATAGTCCATGTTTTGCTCTGGGAGACCTGAAATAAGTGTCAGGTCAAAAAGTAAAATAGGAGGGGCACAATGTAGGTAAACAAAGAATCTGTGAAAGTCTCATTAAATTTCATTCAGAGGTATAAGAGGAGTTGCGAATAAGAGGTGGTACGCCAAAGCGTGCAAGGCGGAGAAATGGATGTATAGACAGACGGACTTACATGCCGATCACTGTATATCCTTGTTTTCAAGGGGAGGGGGTATAATTAAACATTCAGTATTTCAAACTTGGTCTATCTTTTTTTTAATTTGCCTATACATACATCGTCAGATATTATATGCCAGTTGCTATCTATTTTTACTTATACTGAGAAAGGGCAAAGGGGTAGGAACTGGGAAGTGCTTACATGTAGGTGAGCAATCAGAAAACACACAGGTGGTACGGACCTGTATATTAATGTTTCTTAATTATTTTTTTACTTTAATACTTAGTGTATTTTTCTACATACTTAATCATCCTAACAAATGCTTCATTTTATATCTTCAGTACTTCATATCTCCCAGGAGAGAACTATAAAGATTTGCTTGGGAGGTTTTAACCACATTCGAGTAAGATCTTTTTTTTTTTTGGTCAAACAAATGTTCTGACGAAATCCCTGAAGTAAATCTTTGAATTATGTTTATGTCGTTAATTGACAGGAAACTATAAAGATACCTGTAGGTTTTAATCACTATTGAGATATCAACCACTGTTGAAATATCTACCACTTTTAATATCAACCACTATTGAAATATCAACAACTATTGAAATGCATGTAATTATTTCAGAAATGATTGAGAATGCATTTCTATTAAACAACACTACATTACAACCACCATTGACCAATAATGATCACTTTCGAATTGAATATTTCCATAATAGTTGAGATTCTTGGGGTTAGGTTGACCAGTTTATACAAATTATGGGAAAATATTCTCACATAAGTATTTAATTGAATATTGGTATCAAGCAAAACTAATATTCTGCCATGTGTATGTTGTCTTAAAGGATGAGGATCAACCATCAACCAGTCTTGCCCATGTTTCTCTAGCTGAACTGTTTGCAGGACCGCGGCCTCAGACTTTATATACAAGGTACCTAAGCCTGAGGTACATCGGCCATGAGGTACGTATTGGGGTTCTTATCATTGATACATGTATTAATATCTTAAAAAAGGATATTAATTCCTGGCATTAATCACCTTGATACACTCTGTATATTTCAGTTAATTGTTTACAATATTCATGCATATTTGTGTGAGAGAGTGGTAATGTGTACATGAGAGAGAGAGAGAAAAAGAGAGAGAGAGAGAAACTAAGCTTATGTACTCTTGATTTCTCAAACTTCATCTCTGAATCTTTATCCCTTGAAGTCAAAATACAGTCTCGTAATTTACATGGATACAATTTATTCTATTTTTCAAAACTTACAAAATGTATATAAATATTTTGTTAAATAATTTTTACAGGATACATTCACTGCAAGATGGCTTGAGGATTTCATTGATTCAGCTGCCATAAATAGCTTGGTAAGAACTTAACCTTCTGAGATTTTTTTTTCTTGCTTTTGATAAAGCGGGGATATTTATTTAGGTCTATATATCCGTTATTCTATCTGCCTGTAACACCCTCCTTTTAAAATGATATATAGCTGTCATTTGGTTTTGCAATGATTTCAACAACAAAAAATTGGAAGACCCTATTGACTTTCATATGGTTGATGTAAAAAAAAACCAAAGGCCTTGGATATTATATTCACATGTTGCATAAATGATTTCCAAATGAAAGCACTGGTTCTCTAAAATTTTGCAATGAAACTAAAGGTGATGACGATAACTTAAGAAAGACACCTTTTTGATTATGGACCAAAAAGGCCAGGGTCATGATTACTAGTACTCACGAATTCATAATGTTTTTTATTCTCGTTGTGTTTTCCTAAAAAATGAAGCCACATTATGATATAGGTGATACATCTTATTTGACTTGGTTACAATATATAGCTGTTCAGAATCATTATTAAGAAAAATTAAATCTGCAGCTTGAAAATCCAGTGGTCCCTTCTCATTTACTAGATATTTATATAAATCATTCATTTGCAACATACATACATGTATATAGGCGGATCCAGCATTGGCGAGGGGGTCAAAGAAGACTGGGCTCCACTCTTGAGGTTACAGTCAATTCAGTGTTACATTTTAGATTAACATACTGTAGAAGCAGAACATTTCGTTGATTAAATTAAATTTTGGTTCATTTTGTTGTTGTTCAAAATTATCAACGAAATTAAATCCCACACGAAATTTTCATATGACTAGATATATTGACTAGGGTTACTTTCGGAACGACGAAATTTTAATCCCTAGAAACCGTTTTAGATAACAAATCCCCACAAAAATTTGTGTTTCTACAGTACTGTAATTAACACTTTTCTGTGTAATATTTCTCTGTTGAATTAAATTTATTTTAACAAGTCTCTGTTTAATCCCATTCGCCTTGAGTCTTTCCTTCAAAGAAATATTCCCCACTCAGCCTCCCTTGTATTTACATAGAGAAAATATGCCAATATTTACAATTCTTTATTTCAAAGATTTATTTTGTTTGTCATAGAATTGAATGTATGCATAGGATCCGAAAGAAATATATATACCAAATTATTTACTAGAGTTAAAACATATTGCTCAGATCTATATTCGTAATAATTATTGCAATAGTTCAACTCAGTTAAACTTTTGTAACTTTTATTTTTAACTGAACGAGCTACAGTGTATAAAAGGGTTCTGTATAATTTTATCAGCATTCTTCTTGCTAAAGAGATTAAAAAGAAGGTCCCCTTTAATACTTCTTTGTGGAATATAAGTATTATGGAAATCAAATACTGTGTGCGAAAAATTTATTTTAGACGTTTTCTGTACTAGCATTTCTCAAAAGTTAATTATTATCAACATTATAGCAATTTTCATGTTTATTAACATCCTACTGAGACAGTTTAAAATTTCTGTTTTCTTCTTAGTTTTATATTCTTTTTTACATTATGATTTGTTTCTTTGAGAAATTGTGTGTTTGTTTCTTTTATTGTTCACAATATATCTTTGATAAGTATTGTTCAGTAACAACAAAGTCTATCTTTTATTTGAAAAAATACGATAATTTTACTACATTTCATACTGCTAGATTAATTCATAATATAATATACGAGAGACTAATTTGTTTTAATTTTTTACCTATTGAAACGTTTGAATTTGGTATCTTTATATCATTTATAGGCAACGGATATGTTGAGCCGAGACCTCATTAAAGCTTTCTATGATGCCGCCAATGTGCCCCAAAAGCGCAAAAAGGTAATGCAGATTTTAGGCTTTATGCCATCGCAGTTAAAGTTAACTCCATCTTTACATAAATATTAATGCTAAATTTTATAATTTCAGCCAAATGTCTTCCGCCGTGCTCTCCGACGAATTGGACGATGCTTTGGACGATGCTTTGGATGTTGCTGTAGACCACAAACTGATTAGTGCCGATTTTCAAGACTCTGACTTTTTAAAATAGATGGGTGATCTGTAGAGCATCATATATTTTTGAAAGATCCTTTGTAATGTTTTTTTTTTACATGTAATTGTAAAATTGTAATATCACAGGCAGTTGACACATGGATGGTGTAGCCCTTTCTTCCCAATTCTCCCGAGAAATTACTGCAATTTTTGGACACAGTATCTAATTAAAAACGCGAATTTATAGCATTTTATTCCTATAATCAGATTTTAATTCAACTCTCCATTTTCGATAAGTTTCAGAGATTGGCCCCGATCTACCGGTACATAAAAATACTTGCATTTAATGAGTCATCTGTAACATAAAAAACGAGAATTTTAGAATTTACTTCAGACATCAGAATGTAAATTTAGGCATGCTTTTCAAGAAATTAATTTGTAATATCCTAATTTTTAGGGAAAAGGGTTGGAGAGGGTCTTACGCCATCCATATGTCATAATAAGGTTCAAGATGCTCTATTTTTTAAAAACATTTTCATAACTATAATACATTTGGTTTTTTAAAAAAATCACACAAACACCCATCTAAATAAAAGATAAAATGGCTGGGCTTTCCTACGATGATGAAAGACTATCCAGCTTCGATCTATACCTTAGTGCTCCAAGACTCGCAAACACCCATCTAAATAAGAGATAAAATGGCCGGGCTATCCCACGATGATGAAAGACACTATCCAGCTTCGATCTCTATCTTAGTGCTCCAAGACTGATCTCCGCTCCATTGAGCATTTTATTGTACTTATTGGTATATCTGAAAGTCTAACAACAGAGTATTTTTTATGGTAAAGAATATGTAGAGTATTTATGGATAATTGTTTAAAGTCATATTTTTCGAGTATTTTTGTAAACTTTTTTTAGATATTTTATATTTGTTAATTATATGTAAATTTATTAAATGCAATTTTGAAAAAAACAAGCGTTTTTTCTTGTATTAAATACCACAGACTGAAGTTTCCAGCATCTCTGTGTCTAGTTTCTTGGAAGTTTGTAGCCTTTGTTTTTTTCTCTAGATGTAGAGAGCTAATTTTTACCAAACTTTGCAATGTAAGATAGCGAACAGAACAATTGTCATTCTCAAGAATCCAATTTAAAAATGGTAACTAAAAACAAATAGAGACCTTTGAAAACACCAGAAGTTGCAGAAGTTGGATAAGGTGCCATAGAGGAGTAACCATCCCAGTGGACCAGTAGAGCAAAACTTCCCCATAATGAAGAAACCTTCATAAAAATTACTATACAGCAAGAAATACTCCATTGGGAAGTCCTTCCATTAAACAGATTACACAGTTCGTCATATTTACGTCATCGGTTCTGATTTTACTTCTGCCTTTAAATGCGCAGAGCAATGATTTCAATTTCTTTTTAATTTTCATAACACATGTTATTGAGTTTTTGAGGGTTGTTTTTAAATTTAAAATTTATAGTAGAAGTTACAAACATAGATATAAATATGTACATTGTACGAAATAAATTTTTATTAAACAAAAATATATCCAGATATAATTATAACTGGGATGGGAATGTCGTATATTTTAATCATTTCTGTAAAAGAAATGCCACTAGGATGCGGAGGGGGGGGGGTCGCCTATTAGCCCTTATTAATTGAAACTTTTACAATATAGCATTTCTTTCGTAAAGGGAAGATTTGTTTATATAATAGTAAATAACCAGGATTCTCCAGAAAAGTCTTGAACAGCTGGAATCCACAAAGATATTCAATGCATTAGATTTTCCTATAAAACAATCAGAAATATTTCAAGCAATTGCTAAACTTAAACATAACAAGTCTTCTGGTTTAGATAATATTTTAAATAGTATATTAAAATGTGGTCAGCATGTTTTACTATCCAGTCTTGTTAAATTATTCAATATGGTGTTGTCCAGTGGGAGATATCCTAAGGCTTGGTCATGTGGATATATTTCTACAATTCATAAAGGTGGTGATAAAAATGATCCAAATAATTATAGAGGGATCACTGTAACAGGTGTAATAGGAAAAATTTTTAATAGTATTTTGAATAATAGACTAGACAAATTTCTTGTGGAAAACAAAGTCATTGATGATTGTCAGATAGGATTTACCAAGAAAGCCAGAACATGTGATCATATGTTTATTCTAAAATGTATTCTTGATAAATATTGCAATGAAAAGAATGGGAAACTCTATGCATGTTTTGTAGATTTTCATAAGGCTTTTGATACTGTTATACATACTGGAATAAAAATTAAACTTCTTCAGATAGAAATTGGACAGAAGTTTTACAATATTGTCAAAGAAATGTATCAAAAAAGTATTTCATGTATAAAAATCCATAATCGAATTACTTATTTTTTTCCAATCCAGCAAGGTGTTAAAACAGAAAATTCTTTGAAAATTTGATTTTTAAATCAAAATACCGTTAAAGGACACATAATACAGTTTATGATTTAATCTGCCCAAGCACTTCGAAGCTACATGGGTACTTGCTTTAGGGATGAAATAAATGAATGTCTGTAAAGTAAACTTATCCAAGCAACAATTATGCTATTGAAGATGAAATATTTATTGGAACATATTCTAAAAACTTTGATGTTTTAATTCTAAATTTTCAATATTTTGAACTTGTTTCTTCTCATAAAAAGAATAAATGGTAGATAAAATTTAAGGACAGATATACAAAAAAAAATGCCTGGATTGCATAGTTCTGGGTCTATTTTTGTTGCAAATGATGCAGATAAAAATGTTTAAAATATTGAATTTGTAAACCCTCTCTGATGCTCAAAATTCTACCTTTCTGCAACCATTCTTATTAATCTCTTTAAATACTTTTCCGTCCAAATCCCATTATTGTGAAACTTTAAATGAAAAATTAAAAAGTACGAGGTGAATCTTGTTCATTTTACTGATTAACCCCCTTCTCCGCAATCACGCATTTTAACGCATATACCGTTGCCCCGCAATCACACATTTTTAAAACGCACATTTCGTTTTTGACGTTTTCTGTTGTGATAACGCGTTAAGATTTGATGGTATGACACTAAATCAATAATACTTGTTTGAAAACAGGGTTGGACATACAAGAAGTCTATGAGCCAAAACTCACCAGTAAATACTCCGCTCTATACTGGTACAATGTTATGTTAATTACACAAGTTCAGTTACGGTCAGATGCACGGACAAATAGGAAGTTGACATTAGATTCATACAAAAATAAATCCCACATATGGCATGCTACAAAAAAAATTGAACTAAAGAATAAAAAGGCAGCTGACATCGGATTTCAACAAGAAGGGATCCCATCATATGACATGCCTCAGTGAAGAAAATTTCAAGCATCTGTGATGAGTATTTGCTGTGAAAACTGCGATCAAAACTTTGTTACGGACAGACATACAGACAGCTTTTTTAAAACGTATTTTATATTATAATTTATACAAAGGGATTGGTTACAAGTTCTTGAAACTTAAATAAACCTCTCCCTGTAATATATACAATATGAATTAGTGATTGCCAATATAGCAATTAAAGGTGTAAAGTTATACATATATATGATAAATACAGACAGCTAGACAGACGGACAACACATTTGACATCCACCTTGTGAATGGACAGTTAAAGAAGCTGGGTGGTCATGGCCATTTTTAGACTATTTTGATCTCCTTTAGAAGAAGAGCTCCATATAATGAATTGATAAAATTTTATAACTAAAATTTATGAAATTTTTCTTTGCCAAATAATAGTTGACTGCTAAAGATATCATCTCTAAAAAATAAGTTACATGTATATCTGGTGGTTAATAAAAAAATAATCTGTTGTATGTATGCTCATTGACACTGAGAACAATATTATTACACTGACAGAAAAACCTAGTGAATTTAACTAGTGTGTTTCGTAGAAGGGGGTGGGGTGTAAACTTTCATTTACTGGTTAAGATGACCAACAGCGATCTACTTAGATTATTCATTATTCTAAATTTACTATTTCATCTCTGGAATTAAAGGTAGTGATTGTATGGACATTGAATCTACTAGTTTTCTTCGTGACATTAACTATAGTTATTTTTTTACAGTGTATGTAACTTGGTCATTTATATAACTGTTTTAAAAAATTATATTGTTAAAAAAAAAAGAATGTTTAAATTGTACATTTATGTATTTGAGAAATTATGTACTACATTTGCTTTATGCAGAGAAAACAAATCAGGAATTAAAGAATTGTGTAAAATTGTAGCATTATATTTTTTCCGTTGTATGTCATTGGATTTCTTTTTTGATTGTCCGTTTTTTACCATTCCCTTTGGGATATTTCTGCAAGGAATAAACAACACTCACAATCTGGGAGTCCTGTCTTCAATGGATAGCAAAAAAAAAATGTAAACATAGACATCACTTGATCCAGCAAACAAACTTTCATGTTTTAATCACTGAAAACAATACCCATTAGCTAAGCCTGGACAACCAACAGAGTCGGTCAAAAAAATCAAATTACACTTTGAATTTTAAAAATTGCAGCCCGGCCAGGAAACGGGCTGCTTTAACTTTGATTTTTAAATCAAAATATAAGTTTAAGTGTTGGTGTATGGGGATTGGGGTGGGAGTAGTTATGTAGAATTAAAGGTTTTCTAAACATTGAAATGATTGTTAATCAGAATGTTCTTTCCGTTTATAAATTACGAGATACATAATATATTTACTTCCATAAAGTGAATCTGTAAAAATATATACGTTTTTCATATTTTAATATATAAAGTTACTTATCATTTACTATCGAAACAACGACAGATCCCTTTTTTTTTAAAACATTGAATTTTACTTCTCGGATAAAAACGTACTCTGCACAAGTTCGTGATTTATATTCTAAAATTGAAAATTAATACATTTTTAAATATAAATGATGTTAATTAAAATTTACGTGTGTCTAGCTAGGAAGTCAATTTATATTTTATGCAGCCAACATTTACTTGAGGAATTGATCAACTTTAAAATGGTATCGTTTTTGATTGATTTTTATCCGACTACAAGTTTTTTTTTTAAAAAATATTTGCGACTATCGTCTCCATCATTTACACGCATGCCTTTTTACACATAACGAAGCGGTTGGTTGATCAAGACTCATTTTCATTGTTTACTTTATATATTTCCCGGGCGACTATTGATGGTTACATTAATGTTTTCTTGTTACTTCACTGATTGCACTTTTTTTGTCCGAGACACATGATACTGATCTCATGCTCAGTAAAATATGGTTTTCCTTAAAAACAAAACAAAGCTTTTATTTTAATTATTTTGATATCAATGATGTATTGTTTTTGATTTTGATTTTAGATTGAGAAAGTCTTCAGTCCCAGTTTTATTACCTGATTTACTCTTCCATAAAGGTCTAAAAATAAAACTATAAATTGTCAGTAAACTATGAAATATCGGAAATAAAAAGTAGAATATATTTTTTCATTATACCTTAAATAAAATGCAGTCAAATTATTGAGATAAT